GAGATTCACAGCTCGTCGACTGATTTGCATTCAGCGACAGTAATATTGGCACCACAACAAGCTTTGTATCCGCTAAACCGTATCACTGTGTACAACTTGTTTAGTTGCCTATGGAACATAACACATATAGGATTTTACAAGAGCGTATTTGATATAGTGAAAACCCCAAAAACACACGCACAAAAAGCTCTATTTAACAACTGTACACTTAAAAACAAACCCTTTGATGCTTGCCACGAGTAAGTATCTAAAGAAAATAGTTCAATTATGTAAAACCAACGAAAAAAGTTTCAGCAATGTGAAGTGCGGAGCGCGCAGTATATATTATAATTCTATGAAATTAAGTTGAAAAACTGAGAGCGTGCAATATACGTACACAGGAGAAGACCATGGAATCAATATCTTTCAACAAACTATTACTTTATTGGCACAAAGTAGATAGCCGGATTTCTGAAGAACACATGACGAGGTGCTATATTTTGACCAATCACGTCCAGCCATTTAAACCCTACCATTCACGTTAGCGGTTACATGCAGCAAAATCTCCTACACTCCTTTCTTTACGCTCTTCAGTTTTTCTCTACTTTGTTCCCTACTTGGACTACTATTTATAACCCACTAACGTGTCGGTTAGCACAACTATTTTGGGATCCAGGCAAACCAGTGTTGAAGGGATACCAAAAAAAATCAAGTATTACATATCCAGGGAAGAAATTAGGGAGTTTAAGACCTTTTCAAACTAAATTAACTTGTAGCATGCAAACCATTCTACAAAAGAAATTACCAGTAGCTAATACCTTCGCGGATGGGTCTATACTATTTACTAGGATTATTTAAACCCAAGGTTGAGGCATGACATGGCTTGAAAACTGCTTTCTAAAAAAGCTTCGAAGCCATAGTTGTTGTGCTTTGCATTGCCACTTCATTTGCTGTAAAAAACTAGGAGGACAGCGATCCGCGACATACAAGATCGAATGCGATCAAAGCGCTAATGACCTCCCGAAAGCCCCGCAGCATCAAACAAAATCCTTTTTGCAGAATTTTTCGAAGGATTAATAGTGGAGGATGGCTTAAAAACTGCTTTTTAACAAAGCTTCGATGCCTAGTTTTTCCAT